CAGAATTTGTATCTAAACACCCAAACTTTAATCAAGCTATAGTTATTCAAAATTAGCATTACTATTTATTTCAAAACCATGATTTTTCTCCAATATAAACTTGATGAGTGCAGTTGAAAAGATGAAAATATTGTAAGTTTTCATGTGGGTATAGCTTTATGCTATGTCTATTAAGTTTAGTGAAATTTTGATAAATTTATTTATCAATACAAAAAATGTGAACTTTTTATAATTTGAATTATTATTATGTTGCTTTTTTATTTGTTACAATAATAATTCTGAGAAATAATTTTGAATAAATGCAAAATAAGTATATGTAATGAATGTCTTAATGTTCCTTTCTGAATGTTATCTACCTGACAGCCAATCAGCAAGGAACACCCAGACAAAACCAAGAAATAACTTAAAATAGATAGCAAAAATTATACTAATCATTCTTATTAATGCTCTTTATTTAAAATTACCAGACAACTGATTCAGGAACATTAGGTCCGAAATCATGTTTATAATGATTTAATACACAAGATCCCTTTTGAGGATCATTATGACATATTTTACAAATTTCCATACAACCAGGAGAATCTAAATCTTTAGAGCAACCATTGCAAACAAGTATGCAACCAATATTGTTACTAACTTCAATGCCACAACATGAATAATATTCTTTACAACCCTTATTACCATCACTAAAATCAACTCCACAACAATCATATTTCCTGCTACACTCTGCCATTTGTTTACAACACTCATAACGATCTCTGCAGCCTTCACTATTAACTTCTCCCTGACAACAATTATAAACTGTTTCACATCCATTATCGTCTGCTCCTACTATCTGATTACAACAATCATGTTTTTTTCTGCAAGGTTCGAAATTATTGCAACAATTATATTTTTCTTTACATCCAATACTGCCCTTTGATTGTTTACAACAAGCATAAGAACAGCCATCTGAACCTTCTCCCCAACCACAACATCCATGAATTTTTGGAGTATGAACAGTTCTATGTGGATTAACAATTGTAAATGTAACAACTCTTGTAACTGATGGCCAAAAGTTATAATCAGGAGCTTCATATTGGTACCCTACTGCTGTTAATGGATGCACTGAACTTTCGTTAGGATGATATTCAATTTTTTGGCCAGTATGGAACGGTGTAACATAACTAAATTTATGTATTTTAATTATCTGATCAGGATGATATTTTTCTAAATTGCCTGGATGGTAACCAGAAAGACCAGATGGATGTTTTTTATAAATTTTTTCAGGATGAACTTGTTTATGATGTTCATGTTTTCTTTCCGTTTCACCATGACAATTGGAAATTGTTAACCTTGGATCATTCTTTTCTGGACATTTTAGGCATTTTGCTTCTTTAAATAGAATTGTAACAAGATGTTGATCATGGTCTTTCATTAATTCAATATACCGATTTAAGATTTTTTTTGGTTCTGCTTGTTTGAAAATTCTAATTTCAAAATAAAAAAAAGGTTTTTAATTGTTGTAAAATAATTTTAAACAATTAACATAAAAATTATTATTTACCCCATTTCATTAAGCATATCATCATTTAAACGATTTTCATACATTTTACGTGTATTTGGATTAAGATATTCATACAAAAAAATATGAAAAACCTTAATATTTTTTTGAAAATCCTTGTATTTAGCAAAATTTTTATCAAAAGTTTTTGATGCTTCTTCTGCTGCTTTAATTGGGCTTTCGGATAATGTGTCACCTTTCATAACAATAATCACATTATCCCAAACATTGCCATCATAATATTGAGCAAGTGATTGAATGAATTTTGCTTGACGAGTTAAAGATCCAAGTTTACGAGTTTCAGGAACAACAAACCAAAGAATTGTGTGTAGTTTAGTGATACCATTTTCATTCATAGTTTTGAGGATCGATAAAGCCGTTTGAGCATCGCCACCCTTCACTCCTTCGGAGTCATCAAAACCTTGCGTATCAATGTATAGGAAACCATTATCTCCACAAGTATATAACATGGTTCCTTTGGTACACGAATCTGCGCCATCAGATACTATCGCATCATCTGCCCCAAAAATTTTTGCCGTAAAACTTTTCCCGTTCCCTGTCCTCCCAATAGCCAGAATACATTTTTTATTTTCCATTATCTGGAAGAAAAAAATATCAATATAATTTAGAATTTTATTATTATTAAAAAGAGGTAATAAACAAATTTATATATGACTAACTTGACAGTAATCTTCTCCTTTCCCTTTTGACGATGAAAGCATTTTTGTTTACACGTCCGAAAAAATAATAAATGGTTACTTTTTAGAATCGCTTAATTAAAAGAATTAAAGAAAGTTGGAAAAACTCGATTCAAAGTGAGGAAAATTTGAAATTCGTTTTATATCAATTTTTAATTTATGATGTATATATGACATAAATTTTAATTAATTATGCATACGACAGAACCTTTGTATTAATATATATATATATATGTGACTTTTTTTATTTTTCAACTTCCGGATCAATTAGGATCAATTAGGCCATGGATCAGTGTAAGCCATTTGTTAATACAAATAAAGAATAAATTAATTAATAAAGATATTTATTACTAATAAAAAGAATTATTAATTTATTAAATTTCCCACTTGCGTAACGAAAAAAAAATTTTTTGCCTTAGTACTAATGAAGAATTGTTAATTTCCCGCTGAATGAAAAATGAAAAAACAACTGATTTTTTGTTTTTTACCTTCAGAGAAATGAAAAAACTGATTGATTTTTTGCAATCTGCATGCTATAATTAAAATATTTCTCAGATAATAACGTATAGTTAAAAAAAAATATTGGCAGGAGAATTTTTATAGTTGATTAATTTTTTACATAAAGTGAAAAATAAAGTGAACCTTTACATATTTGATCTACAAATTCATTTTTCTACAACAAAACGAATACTTTTGTTTTAATTCAACACCCAAATTTTACAAAAAATTCCTTCCCAAAAAAATATTTTAGTTGTAAACAGAATTCATTGATTTCGAATCCAATACTGAATCCAATTCAATTACGAATCCAATTCTGAATCCTTAATCCATTAATTCATTTAAAATTGAGCCGCGTTTTTACCTGAAGATCTACTTTGTTGATACTTCATTAACATAAAAAATTACACAAACTTTGATATATACATGAGGCAAATGATAAACGTATTAACCCTTTTTATACCACTTCTCAAAAAAAAAAAAAAAAAACGCACATAATAACCACACCCGAAATTTTACTTATTTGTATGCAAGTCAACACTTTGTTGGCCGCCAATTATTGGATATAACAGCTTCTATTCTTCTCGGCATACTTTCTATCAAATTCATATAAATATTTCTAGGAATTTGATTCCATTCTTCATGTAAAGCGGTCTCAAGTTCAACATTATTTTTAAATTTATTTGGACGTTTCCGAATACGAATTTCTAATTGACTCCACAGATGCTCTATTGGATTCAAATCAGGAGATTGACTTGACCAATTTTTCAAAATTTTTTAAAAAAAACTTGCATAAAAAACATATGACGTGATTTTTCAGAATCTAATCTTTCATATGTCACGATTTCAGGTGTGGTTAAGTTTCTGAGAAACTGTTTTTTTTTTTTTTGGAAAACTACGATTTTTCAGAAGATTTTTGGTCGAACTTTTTATTTTTTTAACTGTTATTCTCCCAAACATTACAAAAATTTGAAATTTTGCATACAAATTCTTAAGAACTTTAATCACAATTTGATGAAGTTTATTTGTGTTTTATTATGTACGTTTTGGCGTAATTAATTGTTTTGTGGTGACCGAAACTTTTGTCCAGGGAGTGTATCTACTGCTTGGTCAAATGGTTTATTTTTTGTGGCAGCCTTCTAAATAGTGAATGTTCTGGATTTCCTACAATAGTGCTAGTTGGTTCCGTATTTATTGTCATTTATTATGAATGTTCTGCGTTCCTCTTAATTCTTTCATTCCTTTATTTCTTCTTGTTTCTTATTTTTCTTTCCTGTGTTCTTTTCTTTTTTGCCAAATTTTGTATATTTTTTGCTCGTTTCGCACTTATATTCTATCCACTTGTTAACTAGTAGTTCTTGTCTTTCTTCTTCAACTTCCTCTCTTTGTCTTCTAATAGTCATATAACTTTTCTTCTGTATTTCTTTATCGGTTGATTATGGTTAGGTTTGTACGATTTTCTTCAAGATTCCCAATTTCTTCTCGTCTTCATCAGTTTTTCAATTTGTTCCATTAATTCCTCTTCCGTTATTCTTTTTATTATATTTCCTTCTTCTATTAAATATATATATATCTGTCTATCTTATTTGTTGTGAATCACATTCTTCTTGCTATATTGATTAATTGCTATGTTAATTTTTCTTCTTTTCTAATTATTTGTTTCCAGAACTCCTTTATATTCTTCAGTTGGTTTTATTTCCGCTGTTCTTAAATATTCTCGTTCGTCAGTAAAGTATACTACGTAGTGAGACACTATTCCTTGGTCTCTATATTCTTCTGTTGTTATGGTATTCTTTGGTATTTTTCTTTTGTGCTTATGTAGCGTATCCTTATTACTCTATTTCTTTTATTATCTCTTTCCAATCTTCTCTTTCGTTACATCCTTATTGTTGATCTTATTATTTTTTTCTTTAATTATTTTGTCTGTTAAATTTTGCTCTCGAGGTCTATTTGTCTCCTGGCTATTTCTTCCCTATAATTTCTTATGATTACTTTCAATTCCAATGGGAAATTTTTATAAGTTTCTTGATTCATATATTTCAATAAATTATCTTCTGTTAATTTCTTATTTTCTTGTAGCAGTTCTTCCGTTGGCTTTATTGGCTCCTTCAATGATTCCGTTGAATGTTTTTATTCTTTATTTTCTTCTGGTAATTTTTGGTTCTTTGTTTTAATTTTCCTCATATTCAATTTGACAAATTTCTTTTTTAGTTATTTTAATTACCGGTACTTATTTTCATATATTTAAAACTCTTGACCTTGTAAACTTTCTTCCTTTATATAAATAAATACTTTTTCCTTGATTATTAATTTTCAATTCTCTTCCAGTTAATTCATGTATTATTACTGCTTTCACTATTACTATACATTCCCAAACAAATTCTTCCGACAAATTCTGAAATTGCTTCTATTCCTCCTAGAATTAATCCTACTATATTCAATCTAATTATTGTATCTTTTATTTCTTAATTATTAATTCGTTGTTTACTAATGTGTAAAGTATTATGATCATGTGAATTATTGAACTGATTATCTTCCAGATTATTGTCAATATTCTCATCTCTTTCTTCCGGTTTTCTTCCACATCAGGAAATTTTTCTGACGCAGATTTACGTAATTATTACACTATTTACGTAAGTCTACAGCGGGCCGTAATATTATGCAAATAAGCATACAAAAATTATACAATTATTACATCGAGTGTAAATATTACATAATTTTTATGCAAATATTACAACTTTACATATTAAAATTTATGGACGTAATATTGCTGCGGAGAAAATTTCCTAATGCAGTATTTATACTTTTCTTCGTGACGTAATCTTAATTTCTCCTTTCTGATATAGATCTTTTCTTTAATTCTTTTTTTTTCTTCTTATTGGCGTGAATTCTTCTTTTAATTATTTGTTGATTTAATTTTTCTTATCTTGGGGGACAAGGTCATAAGATTGATTGTTGATTTTTATTATTATGTTGTTCTTGTGATTATTTTTAATTGTAAATTGTTGATTTATAAATATGTTAAGGTTGTTAATTGACGATCTTAAAATAAGTGTGAAGAAAAGAAACACTTCCGACCTGGCATAGAATAACCAATATTTAAGCTAGGCTTTTCTTTTTAACTGTTGTTAAAAGTCCCAGTCTGGCTCTAAAAATTTTATTATGGTTGAAAATTGCTTGCTACATGAAAAACGGAGATTTTTTTTTTTGAAGTGGACGATAATAATTTTATTCGTGTAACGTTTATATTGAATGACACTTGATCTGCAATGTCCCGCGACTACCAATTACAAAAGTCTATCCTGTTTCAGAACTGTTTACCTATTTTTATTTATTATAAATACTCGCGTTATAATATTATGGATAAATTTTTCCTATGCCCTTTGCCTTTCCTTTTAAAATAATTATAATTTTCACTAGTGATTTTTCCATTTATAAATAAAAATGGCTGGAAAAAATTTTGGTTCAATAGCATTTTTAATACTTTTTTATATGGTTTTTCTAAATTATCAACCTGCAAATTCTTATAATATTACCACATACAATGATAATGAAACTGGTCTTCATGTATTTAATCCATTGTTTTATAGAGATGGAACCCTAGTCATTTATATGGTTAAACCCATTAATGAAACATGTGTTGAACCAAAATTCTACATTAGAGTTATTTATGCCAATGGAACTATTGAAACTTCCATCCAGACATACCCAATACCTGAATTTAATTTTTGTCAGGTTATAACAAAGGATAAGTTTACTGTAATAATAAATAAACTACAGCCAAAACATGCTGTGATAGTTTATATGAATTCTACTGATATTAATTTATCTGCTAATTATGGAATTTTATTGTCTCAAAATGGAGAATTAATTAGGTATAATAATTATGATGTATGTTAAAACAAAGTAACTATTTTTTTTTTTTTTGATTAAATTAATTTATTAAATTTGATCCAGTGAATTTTATATAGACAAATCAAGTTCATCTAAAGGTTTACCTGATGGTCCATGTATGCTCACAGAAAATGGAGATCTTGATGGAAAATTTTCAATGAATAATTTCAAAACAGATTCAAATGATTATCAATGGATCCATTTTAGCTCTCCGTAATTATTGGTTTTTATTCTTATTTATTATAATAATTTAGATATAAATATATGTTATAAATTTTTAGAAATGAAAATGGAGAAGTAACCAAATTGAAAACTGGAATTATTGCTCAAGCACCAATTGAATATGGAAATATTATAACAACTGCACAATTTCCAGCTTTAAATAGTGGATATGGATTTGTTATTGCTAACACAACAATCACTGAAAATAATAATAGCACAAAAAATATTAAACCAAATCAACCACCAATATCCATATGCTTCTTTAATATATCCTGATAAAGATGAAGTAGTTGGACCATTTTTGATATATCAAACTACAGATGTAGATTTATCAATTAAATTTTTATCATGTTCTACATCGCTCACAAGTTCGGGATATATGTGTATATTAAATTTATCTAAAGTTGAAAAAAATAAAAAAACTAAAGTTTATTGGATGAAAATTTCATTTTTATCAAATGGGTAGAATTTTATTCAATATCATATATTACACAATGCTTTTATTGATGTTATTATTAATATTAATCCAACATTGACTTATTAGTGCTATTACAGGAACTGGACCATTAGAATTTGATCAAATTCAAGATTTTAATGAAATGCATACAACTGCTCTATTTTATGGTGGATTTTTATTTGACATCCTTACACCAAGCAAAATATATAAAAATAAATACACAACACATGGATATATTTTAGATAATAATTTGAAGATAAACACAACTTTAGATCTACCAAGTAATTTGACACTTCCATCATTTAATCATGGTTTTATATTCAATAAAAACTATGGAATCTTTACTCAGAACAATACATTTATTGCAATTATGCATAATGAAAATGAAAATGATAATAAAAGTTGGCAATTAATTTCGACTGAAGTTCCTAAATTTCTACCAGATGGTAATATTCTTTTTATATTATTATTGAAAATATTAAAATATTAATGTCTAATTAAATAATTGTTCAAATAAACATTTGATTATTAGACAAAGGATATAGTAATCCAAATATTGAAACAACTTATCCATCAATAAATGGAGTGATAGAAATAGCAAGTCAAGAAATCAATATAACATACAATACACCAATAGTTCCATCTATTAACAATATTTCAATATATCAAATAAATGATAATGATCAGGATATTTTGAGGCAATCATTCCCAGCTGATTCCTCATATTGTAAAATAAGTGATGATAAAAAAAGCTTGATTATTCAAATATTATCAAGTACATTTAATCTTCCTAATACTAGCTATTATGTAATAGTTGAGGATGGTGCATTAATACAATTTTCTACTGACCAACCATTGATGGGAATTCATAAAGATATATGGAAATTTACTACAGGTATTAATTTTTTAAATTATTATAAATATTCTTTTATAAATAACTAATAAGTTAATTACTTTTAATTAAAAGATAATGTAGCTATTAAATATTCAGGTAAGGTTTTTTATGTTTCATAAATTCATTTGAATTAAATTATTAAATTTTTTTTTATTAAATTCTTTAGATTCAGCAGATGGTATCTTGAGACTCAATGTAGAGGGGACAAATTTATTTAATAATCTAAATTCAACAAATAAATCTGAATATATTAAAAATTTAAAAAATGAATTAGCCAATTTAACACCAATCAACCCAACTCGTTTGAATTTTATTAAAGATCAGACAGATTATTCAACATCACCACCAACTTTATTGTTATCATTTGAAATTTTAAAACCTAATGATAATGAAGATCCACAGGAAATAAATGTTTCCCAAGTCATGGATACTTTAAATACATTAATTAAAAATAAATTTATTACTGGGATATCAAGAAATAACTATACAAGTTTCATTGATGAGAATTATGGATTTATTTTTACAAG